GTTCCAGAGTTCAGTTCAGTGTGTATCTGTGGGTATCTGCCTCTGCTTCCACTAACCACTAGCCACTAAGGATGAGGGCTCTAGGATGACATATAAAGTAGTCATCAGTCTCATTATAGGGGAAGGACATTTAGGGTATCCTCTCTACCATTGCCTAGATTGTCAGTTCGTGTCATCCTTGTAGATCTCTGGAAATCTCCCTGGTGCCAGATCTCTCCTCAGATCTATAATGGCTCCCTCTGTTATGGTATCTCTCCTCCTGCTCTCCTCTATTCTTCCCCTCACTCAACATTTCTGTTCTTCCATTTCCTCCTCTCCCCTCCTCTTCTCCTCCTCTCATTCTGCCCGATACCTCTCCCCTACCCTCTTGCTCCAAGTTAGGTCAGGAGATCCTGGCCCTTCCCATTCTCTGGGGTCCATGCATTTTTTTTTTCTTAGAGTCCTTCTTGTTTTCTAGTTTCTTTGATGAAGAGGATTGTAGGCTGGTAATCATTTGCTCTATGTCTAAAAATTCATATATGAGTGAGTACATACCATTTTTGTCATTTTGTGACTGAATTACCTCACTTGGGATGGTTTCTTCTAGTTCCATCCATTTGCCAACGAATTTCAAGATTTCATTGCTTTTTACTGCTGAGTAGTACTCCATTGTATAAATGTACCACATTTTCTCTATCCATTCTTCAGTTGAGGGGCATCTAGGTTGCTTCCAGGCTCTGGCTATTATAAACAATGCTGCTATGAACATAGGTGAACCAATGTCCTTGTTGTATGAATGTGCATTATTTGGGTATATGCCCAAGAGAGGAATTGCTGGATCTTGAGGTAGACTGATTCCCATTTTTCTGAGCAACTGCCATACTGATTTCCAAAGTGGTCTTATAAGTTTGCACTCCTACCTGCAATGGAGGAGTGTTCCTTTTTCTCCACATCCTCTCCATCATAGATTGTCATTGGTATTTTTGATTTTAGCCATTCTGGCTGGTGTAAGATGGTATCTCAGAGTTGTTTTGAGTTGCATTTCTCTGATGGCCAAAGATTTTGAGAACTTTCTTAAGTGTCTTTCAGCCATTTCAACTTCCTCTGTTGAGAATTCTCTAATTAGTTCTGCACCCCACTTTTTAATTTCATTGTTTGGTGTTTTGGTGGCTTGCTTCTTGACTTCATTGTATATTTTGGAGATCAGCCCTCTGTCAGATGTGGGGTTGGTGAAGATCTTTTCCCAGTCTGTGGCTGTCATTTTCTCTTACTGTGTCCTTTGCCTTACAGAAGCTTCTCAGTTTCAGGAGGTCCCATTTATTAATTGTAGATCTCAATGTTTGTGCTAATAGTATAATATTCAGGAAGGGGTCTCCTGTACCAATTCATTCAAGGATATCTCCCACTTTCTCTTCTAGAA